AACATGGTAGCCATTAGCCTGTATGTCTACTGAGCATTTGAAATGTGACTAGCATCTCTAAGGACATAATTTTTAAAAATTGTATTTAACTTTAAATAAGCACAAATTTCTATTAGCTACTGATTTAGAGAAGTCACTTCTAGACTCTAAATTTTTAGCATACTGAGCAATGGTCTTACAGTTGATAATTTGGCTGCTTTCTGGCTCTGTGGTTTCGTTCAAATGACTTAACTTCTCTGTGTCTCAATATTCCTTGCTTTAAAACAGGGTTAGTATGGCACTGATTGGTTGGGATGCTAAGAGATACTTAGATCAAATAAACATTAGCTGCAGTAAATTGCATTGGGCCCACTGTTATCTGCTACTGGCCTTTTATTATAAAATTAGCAATTAGTGAGTATAATATTGATGTTCATTTCATATTAATTGAAATGGACAGAAGCCTTTTGATGTGTAGGTTTCAGTATCCCATTTTATAGGTGAAGAAATTGAGGTGCTGGGGATTTATTGGCTTGCTCTAAGTCACATGCCCAAGAAAAGAATGACAGAAGTGGGACTGAAACTCAGCTTTCTTGTCTGAAAATCAGAACTTGTTCCACGTCACCACAGCTGCTTGGCTTTCAGCAGCGTTTGGGCCCCTGCCGCCATCCACTCCCTTCACGTAGGTCCTGGTGCTGGAAGCTGGCAGGGCCACCTGTCTGCAGGGACCGCCTTGCGTTCTCAGAGCTCCAAGCCCTCAGCTGCCAGTTGCCGAGCATACTCATGTAATCTTAATGAACAATGTGCAAAGCCATTAAAAACTCAATTAGGACTTTCTTTTTACTGCCGACGTGAGGAAATGCAATCCTGAGGTGCTCATGTGTAAACACAATAGCCGCCATCTGCTACAGAGAAGTGTTTTGCCTCCAAAAAGGGGATCTGTGTTACAGACACATCAGTAACGGGGTGCTTATCAAGGCATTATTATGCACGAAGGGGAAAAAATGCAAAATTTATGGCCAGCCAGAGAGTATTTCCTGCTTTAATTCCACAATTTTCAGTGTTATGTGTAATAACTATGAGGAGACTAATGCTGTTTTATGTTCCTTATCACGTTAGTGGATTTTTTTTTTTTAAGGGTGAAGGAAAAAGAATGTATTTACAGTCTTCCCCTTTCTTGTTTTTGACTGATCTTGGCATAATGACTGGCTCATTTTTGATCTCCAGGAAGCTGACAGGCCGGGATGGTGTTAATTATCCCAACCTGTTGATCAAAGAGGGCTCCACCGATCTGCAGCTACACAGAGCCCCCACTCTTGAGCAGCCTCAGAAACAGCAGCCTATGCTCAACTCAGAGACTTGGCTGTCTGTCTTTTTAGAGGACATGGCCAGGCCCCTATAAGGTGGGCTAGAGGCAGAGGGAGCTATAGATGACCCAACCTATCTCTCTGAACCAATACCTTTGCTAGTGGCACTGCAGTTTCTTATTTCTGTACCCTTGTACGTTCTGTTCTCTCTAATTTCAAATGTCTCCCAAGTTACTGCCTAGGGTTACTGCTCCTAATGATGTCCCTATTTAGAGCATCTTGCAGCTTGGCTTAGTAACTATCATTTCAAATCTTACCTCCTTGAATAAAGAGACTTGTAGGAAATGGGGGCCCTGCCAGGGTGCCAAAATAATAATGATAATGCTAGCTGTGGAAATAGTAAGTTTCAAAATTTCAGTGGTTCCATAACCCAGTAAGAGTTTATTCCTTTTTTACTTAAAGCTCCAAATAAGTGTTTCTAATAGGTAGATTCCTGTAACACAGTCATGATCATTCGGGAACCATGATCCTTTTATTGTGGATCTACTTACCTCCTACATTCCGGAAATCCTGAACATTCAGCTGGTAGATGGGAAAAAGGAATAGAGCAGTGGTTCTCACATTTAATGTGCATATGTATTACCTAGGGATCTGGATAACAGGTAGATTCAGATTTGGCCAGCTTGGGATGAGTCTGAGATATTTATTTTTTACAAGATCTTAGGTAATTCTGAAGTTGTCAGGCTGAGGACCATCTTCTGAGAGACAAAATGATGAAGGAAAGAGGTTGTAGGGGTTGGAGGGAAGTGCTTTTATAGACCATGCCTGGAATATGTACACAACATATGCTTGCCCTGTTGACTAAAACTCAGTTGTATGTCCCCACCAAAGGATGAAGGGTAGCTCAGGAACACAATCCAGTTGGCTGTACATGAAGTCACATAAACAGAATAAACCCTACCTCCTCAATCAGCTTGCACTTCTGTTGCAGTCAGAATGAAGAGAAATGGGGACCTGAGCTGGTGGGAAGAAAACTCTCCCACTTCTCTGTTGTGGGTTGTGAGAAGTCTAGAATATGTGTGCACCTGCTGCAAACCCGCTAGGACAAGAGCTCAAGTGTGTATCCCTCATGGGATCTGGGATCTGGAATGGAGAGGGCCAGACACACCTTTCTTCTCAGGCAGCCTCCTCTATCTTCCTGTGGGAAATGCTCCACTGCTTAGTGACAGAGGCAGTCACCCACCCATGGTGGGTTTACGGGTCATTAGTCATCCATCCAAGGTAACCTGGACCCTTGTAAGCTAGAGGACAGCAGACAGATATGGCCCTGGATGATGGTGCAGTCATATCTCTGAGCTTCAGTCCTCTCTTCAGTAGTTTCTTCCTCATGACTTGGGTGTGAGGTTATGGTAATTAGATAACATGTATGACCTGGACATATGTCTTCACTTAGCCTAAGTTACATCCAGGCCCTAAAGTAAAGTATTTCACTCTCTTGTGAACAACTTATTTCACATCCAGTGCCTGGTGAATTTTATGGTTGGTCAAATGATCAAAATATGAAGGCATTTAGTTCAAGTTTCTCTGTCTTTGTCATCTTGCTTCTTACTGATTTCTTTTTGGTACAAGCTCACTCAACCATCCTAAGTAGTAGTGGAACAGTTATTGTCCTAGGAATTTGGACAGGGTTGAGGTGAGGTCGAGTCCACCCAGTTGCTCCTCATGCTATTTGTGGGTGTGGGTTATAGGAAAACTAATTTGGCCTCAAGTCTATGAGATACTTCTTATAATCCAGCTTTGTGAGTAATAATATGGAGGTTTTGGACTCAACTGCTTGCCTATGTCAGTTTATAAATTCACTTGAAACTCAGAGGAGACAGGGTGTGAATGCTTGGTGCCTTCTAAAACCCAACAAGATATGAATTGCCCAACACTTAGCAAGTGGCATCTGTTAGTTCTTCCGGTGTTAGGGTGAAACAATTAGGTGACTTATATCTGTTAAAGTGGGCCATCTTGGCTAGGGATAAGTTGTTTTACAGTTTTGTTCCAAATGAAGATTTTAGTGGATGAAATGAAATTTCAAAGGAGCAGTAGATTTCTAGGCAAAACATTCATCCAGAGTCACTCAAGTTTAGCTATCTTGTTTTATGATGCAATTTATTTGGTAGAATCGTAAGATTTTAAGTCCTAGAGTTCAGCCTTCTAGTTGATTGTGAAATTTTCTGCAACATCTCCTTATTTTGTCCAGGCTGTGTCTAGACACCCGTGGTGGCGGAAGAATTCCTTTGTCTCTGGGCAGTCCTATTTTTGCACCAGATACACCTGTTGGAAAGTTTGAGGCATGTTTTGTGGCAGTCTTGCTGCATATCAACCCAAGAGGATATCTGTGGCAGATGAGAATAAGCATTTATTCTGATAGTCATGGGTCTGTGCATTAATTATGGGGTTGGGTGGTGTAGGCTGAGCTTTTGGCCATGTGACTGTGCTTCCAACTCCCAGGGTGGCCTGGCTTGGCTCCTCTCTGTTGAGCTCAGGTCTCCTGCCTGTGTGTTTATTCTTAATCCCAAGATGAAAGGGGCAGCAACTACCTGAGGCATTCTTCCTATGAAGGTTGCTTGTTGTACAAGACAGCAAGTTAAGGTCATCAAGCACATGTTAAGCCTCTGCTAGAGTCCTGTCAAGATTCTGTTGACCAAAGCAGATCAAATTGTGCAGCCCAAAGACAAGAGATGGTGACAAAGCCTCTGCTTCTACTTGGAGGAGCTGCAGAGTCACTGGCAAAAGACTTGGATCCAGGGCAGGACCCAAGTATCCGGGACCAACCATTTAATCTGTCAGAGAAAAAGACACTCATTTTTTTTCTATGCACTAGCCTGTTTAATGCTTAGAAATTGTAGTTATGTTTTCTGCAAATAGTAATAGTAGCATAAACTTTCAAGTGACAGAGAATCTGGGTCTCTTCCTCTCTGACTAAGGAGCCCAATGGAAAGTCATTTAATCTTTAGGTAAAATGAATATCCTCTATCTCCCAGGGTCATCTGAAGGTTAAATTGAAAAATATATGGAGAGTACACCTAACATCAACATTAGTATTCTATGAATGCCTAGGAATTCTTACTTTCCATTCCTCTTGAACATCTTCTAGTAGGTTCTTATATTTCTTTAGGGGCTTTATTTCTTTCTTGACTATACTTTTATAAGTTCTGATTTAATAGCAGTTCACTGTCCTAAATGCAGGATTCCAGATGGAATTTTTTGGAACAAAACCACCTCCCATATTGTAGAGGTTCTGCCTCCATTGAAACAGTCCAAGCTTGCATAAATCTATTTTCATCTTGTTTCACCTGCAGAAGTTGCAGTTAACTAACTTTCTGGGTTTTTATTTCATGTCTCCTTCAGGAGTCACTAGCTGTAATGTTTTTCAGTATGTGTTTATAGACTGTCTGTCTTGTAAAAATATTTCCTACATGCTATCATATCTTAATTCTTAAAGTGCAACGTTGGATAGGGATATTTTTGTCCCACTTATAGCAGAGGTTCCCCAGGTTTAGAAAGGAGATGTAGTTTTCTCAAGGTCAGTCAGACCCTGCTTCTTAGGGTGATTTAATTTCCAGCCATCCCTCTGGCCACCATGTTTGTTGATGGGACTGATTTTCAGAAAGATTTTCTTTCTCTCTCCTGTCTTTACTTCCCACCCTCACTGTGGGGCTCCAGGCTCCTTCATGATGGTGAACAGCTCTGGGAGGGCCTCTGGCCAGAAGGCCCACCTTCTTCTGCCCACCTTGAAGGAAAACGACACCCACTGCATCGACTTCCATTACTACTTCTCCAGTCGTGATCGCTCCAGCCCAGGGGCCTTGAACGTCTACGTGAAGGTCAATGGCGGACCCCAGGGGAACCCTGTCTGGAACGTGTCTGGCGTAGTCACCGAGGGCTGGGTGAAAGCGGAACTTGCCATTAGCACCTTCTGGCCACATTACTACCAGGTATGCCATTTTACCAAGGTTTGATATTTGGAAAGTAATGACAATACACCTTTACACCCCTGCTCTTCCTACAGTGGTTAGGTGTGAAATGGACTTATTTATTAATTCACACATTCAGCCCCTGTGTTCACTGGGTTTCTTTTCCTAGTTAACCATGCAAGTGCAGAAATGACCCAACACAGCCTCTGCCTCCACGGAGGTCATGGTCTGGAGGAGGAGACTGATGTGTAAACAAACAATTACAGCATAGCGTGATCCACATGGCTCCCCAGAGAGCTGGATGAAAGTAGATATGGAAGCTTTTTATAAACTAAATGTTTGATGGGGGGGGCAATTGAAAAGACTGAGATGAGCTAACTATTCAAAGACTACCCCTGAGGAAGGGCAGATTGTTAGAGAAGGTAATTAGGTGGACTTCTAAAATATAACAGGTGAGCTGATCCTGGAGCGTGAATAAAATATTGTAGACAAAGGAAAGACATTTGAATTGTTACAGTGTATGTGATGGGCTGGAAGAGTGAGGGAGAGATTATGGGACAGTTTGAAAACTCTCAGTCCTTTGAGGGAACATTGTAAAGGAATATACAGGGAGATGAGGCTTCAAGGCAGTAGTGTTACTGGAGCTTCCAATACCAGGCTAATGAGATAGAACCCTTTCTCTAGTCAAGAGCAGTGCAACTCAAACTGTCTATGGGGAAGGACCGCTGTCCCCCTTATCTCACTGCGGACCAATACCTTTACAAATTAAAATTAAGAATGTCATGGAAGTGCCAAGTTGCCATGTGTTTCTAAATATCTCTTTGACTTTTCCTACTTGTCTCATTGTGAACTGATTGCACATGGTGTACAGATTGGTACCAGTCCACAGAGCAAGCTTGGAGGGACGCAGCTCTGGGTCTTTATAGATTGAGACCACTGAGGGTTTTTTGTTGTTTTTAAAACAATACCGTTAAGGTAAAACTTACAGGAATTCATCTATTTTAATTGTGCAAGCAATGATTTTTTTTTTTTTTTTCAGTGCTAGGGGTTGAATCCAGGGCCTTTATACTGAGCTACATCCTTAGCCTTCCTTTGTATATTTTTGAGACATGGTCTCATTAAGTTGTCCATCTAGGACTCTAACTTGCAATCCTCCTGCCTCAGCCTTCCAGAGTGCTGAGATTATAGATGTGTACCACCACCAAATCACTGTGTTGAACACAGTGATTTGTATAGTATGCTTACTAAGTTGTGCAACCATCACCATAAACTATTTTTAGAACACTTTTGTCATCCCAATAAGAACCCCTCTTCCCATGTATAGTTGATCACTATTCCCACTGTGAAAGGTTTTAAGTATGAAAGTTACATAGATCTACCTCTCTAATGTCTGAAACAGAAGGTAGACCTGAAAGCGGTAAGATTAGTGACTGTGGCTACTTAGACGTCCTCCAGTCCCATATTCAGGATACAGTCCTCTCTGATTATAGTGTTAGGAATAATTTGTCTATCAAAATCATTTATTTCCAATAATGAGATGACTCAAACTTTATTTTCTCCTTGAATTGGCAACTAGAAATCAGATTTTAATACTCAGTTACCTTCAGTACTTAACCTAGATTTTTGCCATGTCTATTTCCATTTCATCTTTAATTGCTTGTGGTTTGCTTTTTAGAATAATTTTATGGTCTTTTGTTATGCATTTCCTGAATTATTTTCAGAAGTGGAGGAGAGGTGATGATGGTAGTAACAGTGAAGCTAAGATGATGCCTATTCATACCAATTGTTTAGTGTTTCTCATGTTCCAGGCACAATACAAAATAGCCTATGAGCTTTAACTTAATCTTCAGAAAGATTCTTTGAGGCAGGTACAGTTATACCCATTTTAGGATGGTGAAATTAAAGTTTGGAAGCAAGTTCACATGGATTTAGAGTCCTTTTACCCATATTTTGTTTGGTTCTACACTCAAGCTAGTACAATCTAATATATATATATAATGTGAGCCATGTCTAATTTATGAAGTTTAGAAGTCACATGTGCCTTAAAAAGGCACAAAAAACTAGTAAAATTAATTTCATAACATTTTACTTAACCCAATGTATCCAAATACTATCACCTCAACATGTAATCAGTTATTTTACATTCTTTATACATTTTCAAAATCCAGTGTATATTTTACACTTATCACAAGTCCAATTCAAGTGCTACATTTTCACTGGAAATACCAGTCTGTATTTATATTTCATAACATACACAGTTGAAAAGTGGATTCATGTACATATTCCATACATGCTCAAAGATTTTCTAATAGCTAGATTGAGTATCTGTTTTTAAATTTGAATCTGAAGTAATTAAAATGGAGTAAAATGGAAAAAATCAGTTTCCCAGGCTCCCTAGCCACGTTTTAATAGCTTTGTGTGCCTTGTGGCTTCTGCGGTAGGCAGGAGGGAGAAGCTCTTAACTACTTTTCTACAGAGCTTTCTCTAGAATTCTTGGAAAGGTTGGCCCCATGAGCACCCCTGGGGCATGGATAAAGCCAAGACTCCAAAGCTGAGCTTCTGGAAGGTTCCTGGCTTTATGCTGAGCTGATTCTGTTCATTCTCATGCTCGATCTTAACTTAAGGCTGTCTCCTGTAGTCTCTGGATCTGGACCTGCTTATTTTTGGTAGTGGGGTTTATACTTTGGAATCCCTTGTTTGGAGACTTAGAGGAGTGGCTAGTATGATGACTTTTTTGGAGCAGAGGTTCTCAAACAGTGTTAGTTTCCCCCACAACCCCAAGGAGCTTCAAACAACCTGGGGGAGGGGCCTAAGTAGCCATGCTGGGTCCACACTTCCTTCCATTCTCTCCTATCCTTCTCTGCTCTGCCCTTCATTGGTCAAGAAACAGAGGCAGGAAGTAAGGCAAGTTAGAAAGAGAATGGAAGGAAAAGAAGAAGTAGGAGAGGGAAGAAAAGAGGAAAAGAGAAAGCAAATCCTTGAAAGAAATTTTAAATTTCATGAAAATGGTAGTGGTTCTGTGTGCATTTTCACAGACTATGACTCACTCACTCCATTTACTCACCCATTTGTTAATAATTTAGTGATGGCCTCCTGTCTGAACTAGACAAGGGCCAGCTATGAGGAATCAGCAGCGAGCCGGGCAAAGCCAGGCCTTGAAGAGGTCATTGCGGCCTGTGCTCCTTTGGGTCAAGTGAAGCTTCTCGTTCAGCTCGTTTGCTAACAGAATCATGGAGAGAATTGAGTTTGTGAACCAAAGTACCATGTCTTTCCCATGTGCAATATGTGTTTACTAGATTAGTACCAGGTCCAAAAACCTTTATCTGAAGCTTACAGTATTAGACATGTTTCAAAATTCACAGTGTTTGAAATTTAAAAGAAAGTATTTGCATATACCATGTGCTTTATAACACCCTTAGTAAGCTCTGGGGCAGCACCCTATAGACAAGTGTTCTACACTAATGTCTCTACAGCAAAGCCTACACCTGTTCACAATAAGTAGGACAAATTAAGACTGTAAGTAGCATCAGAATAGCTCAGCTCAAGTTTTACCACCAAATTACTTTATATAACTATGTGAAATAATTTGTTCCGGGGCATTTGGGCTTATAGAATTTCATTGAGGGTATCACCTTATATTTTCTACCTGCATCACCACATGTAGGGATAAGCTGTTGTCTGTATATTTTGGGAAGATCCACATATGGAACAGCTGATTTCTGAGATGCCCTGAGGTGAAAGTTCAAACTGTTGGGCTCGCAACAATTTGGAGAACCTACATGGAGTGTCCCCTTTCAGGAGCTGCAGACAGCCTAGTGAGGGTTATGAGCAGTCAGAAAGGGATTTGTACATTGATACTTAATCTATTGTCTCCAATCTAAGTTTGACCTTATACCTCTTTTGCTTATGTGTAAGTCTTAGCATAGAGATAATATACTGTGGACAGTTGGTCTCCGTCCTGGTTTTCCTGAGACAGGCTTGATTTCCTCCTCTTGGTGAAATTGTTGAGAGCATCTATTTCATCATGAGCCCCAGTTTGGATGATAAATGATAGAATTTCCCAAAGAGATTTACAAAATGTGTGTTGGCACATGTAGCTTTAGTTCATCTTCAATTTGTGGATCAGGTCAACATTTTTCTATAGAGGGTAAAGCAGAAAATATTTTCATTTTAGTGGCCCTTAAAGTCTTTGTTGTACTGTAATTACTCAACTCTAACACTGTACCATGAAAGCTGCAATAGACAATATGTAAATGAATAGATGTAGCTGAGTTCTGGAAAATGTTGTATACAAAAATGAGTGGTAGACTGGATTTGAATTCCAGGCCATGGTTTTCTGAAAGTACCCTGAGGTGGGTGATCAAGCTGAGGTGGAGAGATGGTAATTAAGTTCAACAGCACACAGAAAGTCATTGTTAAAGCTAGTGCCAGAACCGAAAGGCCTGGTCCCTAGGCTGTCTCCATTGTATCACTGAGTTTAAACATCAGTGATCTCCAAGGCTCGTGGGCAGCCCTAGGAGGCCTTAGGAGTCCAATTAGAAACACTTTACCAGGGCCTGGTACAAATAGGCACAAAGGACAATGAGCAGGAAAAGTGACCCAGGAGGAGGACAGACCCACCATTTGCCATGCTTTTGATGGAACTTGGGGGAAGCGGGTATTTTCGAGCTTCTGATAGTCCCTGCTTGGAGGCAAACCTGTTGCCTCTCACTTATTTGAACAGTGGCTCCCTGCATTAGGTAGCAGCCTGTCCTGACTTCTAGAGTAGAGAACATTATCAGTAAACTGAAGTTCCCACAATCCTGCTTGGGTCCCCTGGCTCCAAACTCTGTGCCCTGTATTTAGGGAAAATAGCTTTCTGTCCTGAGAGTCTTCTGCTCTCTGGCTTTTAATGTTGGCCGTACCTGTTATCATTTGGAATCACAGTTCTCACATTTGTAATGGAAAGAGGCATAGGTACAATGAAAGGTCCTTTGGTGGGTTAAAATTGTGAAAATTTGTAGCATCGTGTCCAGCTTCCA